CTGCGAAACTTCCCACACATGGAGGCAGAGCTACAGCGCCAAGGGAAAGAAGTCCCACAACTGGACAGTGCACACTATTCTAAGCAGGTTCAGAGCATCTCAACAGAATTTGAGAGACGATTTACTGACTTTTCCTCCATCGAGCCTGTTACCAGCTACATGTGTTATCCTTTTGGAAATGTTGATGTGGATGACATTGTGTCCAAATTGGTGTCCGTGTTTCAGCTGGACAGCTCTGGTGTTGAAAATGAGGTGTTGAGTCTGCAAAATGACATTGGGATCAAATCCAGAGCATCACCTGGCGTGGATGGAGAGTTCTGGAGTCTGCTGTCAGAAGAAAAGTATCCTAACATCCGAAGATGTGCTTTGAACTTAACAGCACTTTTTGGATCTACCTACCTGTGTGAGTCTGCTTTTTCACATATGAAAATCATCAAGTCCAAAAACAGATCCACAATGAATGATGATCATCTGGAGACCTGCCTGCGCCTCGCAACCACCTCATACTGCCCATCTTATGAGACCCTGGCCTCCTCCTCTCAGTGTCAGAAGTCCCACTAAGGTAGAGACACATTTATTTTATACAGCTTGCATAAAAAGTTGTCTCCTATAGACACATCACGTTCTGTTTTATTTACTTTAAAGAAGTGAGGAGTAGGGATTGATGAAAAATTATGTTTGTTGATAACACATGGGGAGTGGTGGCGCAGAGGTTAGAGAGGTGGGCTTGTGATCCGAAGATCGCTGGTTCACGCCCCGGCCCCGACAACATCAAAATTGTGGGTGGGGTAGGTGAAACACCCACACTTGCCCCCACCCTCATTCGCCCCACTCTGGGCCCATGAGCAAGGCCCTTAACCCCCACCATGTGCTCCCTAAACAGGTCTCTCTTGAAAATGAGTTCTCGTGGCTCAATGAGACTAACCTGTATAAATAAAGGCTAAATGAAAAAAAAAAATGTTTGTTGATAATGAGACTGGACGAGTAGCTCTCGGCAAATTGCCGACTTCAAAAGTAGCTCTTGGTTCAAAAAAGGTTGGGCACCCCTGGTCTAGAGTGATGGAGGACAATTCCCGCCCAGTAAACCAAGGCGAGGAATATATCCTTCCCGGTTCTGCTCGCCTGGCCATCACCCAGCTAGAAAGAGACCTTATCCAAGCCAACCAGTCATGCCCTCCACCAGCTGCATGCCCCTCCAACCAACTATTTGACCTGATCGGGTCAATGATGTGTTAAAATTGTGTCACTCTTCGCACCTGTTTTGCCATCCTGGCATTGCTAAGATGCTTGCCCTAGTTCGAGCTCAGTTTTGGTGGTCTACATTGTATCATGATGTAAAGACTTATGTACTCTCCTGCCATGTCTGTAATCAGACTAAGACCTCACGTCACCACCCTTCCGGTTTGCTTAACCCTCTTCTCGTCCATGGTCCCATATTAGTTTAGATTTTATCACTGGTCCCCCCCCACCCCCAAACTGACAATACTATTATTTTTGACTGTCATTGATCGCTTCTCCAAACAGGTTCACTTGGTTCCCCTTCCTAAACCCCCCAAATCCAAAGAACTCACCTCTGTCATGGCCTGTGAAGTCTTTTGACTCCACGGGCTACCCACAATATAGTTTCTGACAGAGGCCTGCAGTTTGTTTCCAAGTTCTAGTAGGAGTTTTGCGACCTCTTGGGGGTGTCCATCAGTCTCTCGTCTGGGTTGCATCCCCAAACGGATGGCCAGACGGAGAGGGACAACCAGGAGGTCGAGACCAAGCTGAGGGGCCTCTGTCAGAAAGACCCCAGTAAGTGGTCCTCCAATCTCCCCTGGGTGGAACATGCTTTGAACTCCATCCCCTCCTCCGCCACTGGTCTGTCCCCGTTTTTGGTTGTAACTGGTTTTCAACCCCCTGTTTTCTTTTCAGGAGCACAAGACTAGAGTTCCCTCTGCCCTTAAGTCAGCCCTTCATTGTAAACGCACCTGGTGGAGAGCCAGGAAGGCCCTCCTGGAGACCTCCGCAGCCTACGTTAAAGGGGCCAATAGACGGATGTTTCAACAACCCCTTCATCAGGAAGGTCAGAGGGTTTGGCTTTCCACCAAGGACCTGCCCTTTAAGCTCAAGTCTCGCAAACTCGCCCCCGATTTATTGGTCCATTCCCCATATCCAAAGTTTTCAATCCTGTGTCTGTTCACCTTCGCCTCCCCAAGTCACTTCGTATTCACCCATCTTTCCATGTATCCCGTATCAAGCCCTTTACCCAGTTCCACCCAGCATCTGATTGATGGGGGGGGGGGGGGCTGCCTACTCAGTGCGATGCCTCCTCCGGTCCAGGAGATGGGGGCGTGGTCTTCACTACCTAGTACACTGGGAGGGATACGGCCCGGAGGAAGGCTCTTGGGTTCCAGCCCGCAACATCCTGGACCGCAGCCTCATCCTAGACTTCCACAGATGGCATCCGGACCAACCAGGTGGCACGTCTGGAACCGTGCCTTGAGGTGGGGATCTGTCATGATACACAATTTAATCTTTGCTAAAACAGTCTATTCACTGCTTGGTTTCTAGTTTTCTCTATGTTCATTTGGTTTCTGTCAGCTCTGCTTCCTATCTGCAGCTTTCTGTCTGTCACACCTCCTCTCACTGCAGCTCGTTAGTGTTCATGGGTAACACCTGTGCTTAAAAGCTTCTCTCCCTCACAGTCTGGTGCCAGAATATCGAAAGCCTTTGGGTAGTCTTCCAGTGTTTCTCTCTTGTATCCTGATCCTGTTCAGTCTCCTGCCTGCCCCTCGACCTCTGATTTTTCTTTTTTTTTTGTCTTGCCCTTTTGTACCTCTGCTCATCTGCCTTTTTGCTGCCATTATCTGCTTGTTTTTGGACTCCGAGTTTTGCCTTGCTCTTTGGTACTGTTGCCTTTATCAGATCATGTTCATGTTTGTGTTGATGTTCAATGTTTTATGTTATGAGTGCTTAGTGTATATTTAGTTGATGTTTTTCTTAGTTCATATCTTAGATGTTATTACTGTTTTTCTTATACATTTTATTGTCGGATGTAACTGGGACCCCGTGTACATAATTTCGCTCCACCACATGCACCACATGAGGTGCGAATGACAATAAAGAAACTCTGACTCTGACTCTGACTCTGATCATGTTGGCAACCTTGTTTCTGCCCACGACTTCTGCCTCTGGATCGTCCACCGACGTACACCGCCCCTCGGTAATGTCTCAGCGCTCTGCCTCCGGCCCACTGAGACTTACAAGATCCAGCTTCAGTTGCTTGTCTACCAACACCAGCCGAGAGTGGCAGCTCTTTACTTATTTAATAAAACCGTTAAAACCGTTCTGGATTCTTGTGGTTCTGATCCAACCTCAATCATTACACTGCTGCTGTCTTTACTTACTCTGATCAACCTGTTTTGTATTATTTTTTTCTCTTAACGTGTGGGGTTTTTTAGATTTTTTTTTTTTTTTTGTCTTTCAGTTCAGAATCAGAACCAGAATCAGTTTATTATTGCCATGTCAATGAACGAGGTTCACAAACTAGGAATTTGCTTCGACATAAGGTGCGAATAGTAATAAAGTAAAATAAAGTAAAAATGAAGTAAAAATGAGAACTTTTTTTTTTTTTTCCTGATGGCCTCCCTTCTCCCCTTACAGCCATCCTCTCCACACCATTATTATGAAATATTTATTCTAGTGACTATCTAGTGTAGGTTTTTTTTTTTTTTTAATAGGATAGAAAGAAAGAAAAGACAAAGTAAGACTCCAAAATATAAGAAATATACACAAAGAGAGCATACGGCAAAACACCCGGCCACTGTCTGTTCACCTACAAAGAACATGACAAAACACAGCAACAAAATACATATGTATAAAGAACTTAAAATATTCATGGCTTTGCAGTAAGTTTTCATAAATATATATACCCATACCTACGCCTATATACATACATACATACACATGAATATACATTCATATACATATCTATATATCTACATATAAAGCCTACATAAGCATCCCTGCTTCTATTTGTGTGTGGTTGTGAGCATGCATAAGTGTATAAGGCTTCTCTAATAGAACATTAATAGTAAGTGTGAAGCAGCAGAGACCCGACCCCCAAGACCAGAGGCAGACGAAAAAGGGGGGACCAGAGCCCAAGACCCCAGGAGGGACCCCGACCGTGGAGCCCCCAGGGCCACCCACACAGGATGAACCACTCACCCACCCCCCAGAATGGACCACAGGGGAGAACCGGAAGATCCCCACCAGCGACCACATACAGTGACCCCCCGGGACCAACAGCGACAAACTCATAGGCCTCCGTCGGCACCCGCCGCACCGATGTAGGTCCAGGTCCGGGCACCGAGGCCCGGGCACCGAGGACTCACACCACCCAGGCCAAGGCCCGACAGGGCCAGAGGACCCGAGCCCCACCAGGCAGACACCAGGTCGAGCCGACACACGCCCAAGCGCCAAGCCCCCGACACCAAGGGCCCCAAGCATGCCGGCAGGCAAGGGCACACCCCACCAGGGGGCCGCGCGATAGGGGCGCGATGCCAAGCACCCCCAGTTGTATCAAAGAGGGGGCAGTCCGAGTCTCGGCCTAACAAATACCCATTCATACACAGACACAATCACACAATCCCAACCTCAGTCTCACATTCACTCACTCAAAGACATACAATAACTTCATCACTTCACTTCCGGCGAGCTGATGGACAGCAGCTCCCTCCGGCTTCTTTGCAGTCTTTTATCATCAAACTGACCCGTTTTTCGAACCGGACTAAAGTTGGTCCTCCTTCCAACCGAATTCGGTGTTCAGTGACTCAGAGAGCCGGACGGGACCGTCCAAAAAATAAAAATAATAATAATATTTTGGCCCTGGACCGATCGGCCGCTCCCCCCCATCGGTCACTCTGAGCGCACCCTGCCGGCCAGGTGACCCCTCGAGCTGGGGAGTCGACGCACGAAGGTCCGGTGTTTTTTCTCTCTCTCCCTGGACCTCAACGAACTCTTATCTGGACCTTTGTGGTTCTACCTGGTTCCGACAAATATTGCCGGGTGGTATTTCGCTGGTTTTCAGCTGGACTGGCCCTCGTGGTGTTTCCATAGGTGTGGGGGAAGTGTACCTGTGACCCTCGAATTGGACCAGAACCGAATCGAGGTGGCTGTGGGGAAATTCGTCTTCTACAGAGCCGGTCTCAGCTTCAGTGAGCAGCCCGTTACTTTTACTGAAAGACGATCCTCCTCCGTGGAGTCGTTGTGTTCACCTGGAGGAGACGCTCCGGTGCTTTGAAGCGCCGCCGGACCGGAGCAGAACCGCGCCGCCGGACCGGAGCAGAACCGCGCTGCTAGACTGGGCCGCCGGACCGGAGCAAAACCGGGCCAGGGATATCTTCAGCCTCTTCGTCTCTCGTGCTTGGAGCGCCGGAGCCGAACTGGAGCAGAACCGGACCGGACCAGTTGCCGACTTCAGCCTCAGCCTCTCCGGTCAGTCTCGTTTTTCACCGGGGGTGCCCCGTGCTGTCGGGTGCTGAGAAGCGGAGGAGCAGCGTGGAGGAGCAGCGTGGAGGAGCAGGGCTGCGTGGTGCTCGAGAGAAGTTCGGAGTTTGTATCGGAGCTGCTGCAGGCCTCCATCCAAACTCACCTGGATAATAATTAATTTTATTCCGGATCACGTTGTTGGCCCCTGTTGACCTGAAACGAACTTGGACCATGCCTTTCACTTCAGGAGGATTTTCTGGCAGCTCGCTCTGCTATTTGCTGCGAATTTTCAGTTTCTGTTTCGGCCTGTTGATTCTGGACCCAGCTTCTGTTTCTCATGGGAGCATCCATCCATCCATCCATCCATCTTCACAGGGGGGCCGGAGCCCCCCTCAGCCTGACTCAAACTGCAGTTGGGCCACCTCGTCGGGTTTGTTTGCCCATTTGAACTGTGACATTTTATGGTCTGAATCTTTTCTGCATCATTCATATTACTGTCACTATTTTCAGTTCTCAGATTATCTGGAGTCACTGAATCTTGTTAATACACCTGAATCTGTCCATCACTGCAACTTTCACTGTTTTTGGGTTCTGAATGATCGCGTCTTCATTAATGTTTCTCATGGTTCGATTATGGGGGCTAATTGTCACACTGTTAACTGCTGTAATTACACATCAGTCACAAAAAACTCAAGAAAATGTCTGATAATAATGTTGTTATTGCTCTCAGGAATTCAACCCAATCCTGGACCCCCCACTAATTACAGCACACCAAATGACTTTAAAAACGCCTCTGGGCTCCATTTTCTGCATGTAAACGCTCGTAGCCTTCTGAAAAAACTTGATGCTGTGAAAATCCTGGTCAGTTCTTCTGGGGCAGATGTTATCTTTATTTCTGAGTCCTGGCTCAACAAATCTGTAATGAATAATGACGTGGCAATCAATGGATTTAACATCTACCGCTGTGATCGTCAAAAAAGAGGGGGTGGAGTCATTATTTACATTAGAGATACCCTAGTTTCAAGTCTTGTGACTTTCAAAACAATTCCAAACCAGTTTGAAGCCTTATCTGTAAACATCACCTTGAATGGAGGCCAGGTTTTAACTGTAGTCTGCTGCTACCGCCCCCCCACAGCTTCTCCTGAAGCATTAAATGCCATTAAGGAATTCCTTGGTAATTTAAAATTCACTGAGATCTTTTTAGCTGGAGATCTCAACATTGATTGGTGTAAGTCGACCCCCCTCTGTGACAAATTCAAGGAATGTTGCTTGTCTTTTAATTTAACCCAACTGATCGACTCCCCCACCAGATTAAATAAAAGCCATCCTGACAATTCCTCCATCTTAGACCTGTTTCTAACTAATATGCCTCACAAATTCCCTGGTACAGGTGTATTCGCTGATCTTTTGAGTGATCATTGTGTGACAGCGGCTTTAAGAAATAGTAAACTTCCACCTTCTAAGCCCAGATTAATTAAAAAAAGGGATCTGAAACATTTCTGTGAACAGTCATTCCTCTGGGATCTGTCTCACTTTGACTGGCATCATATTCTGTTAACTGATGACGTGAACTCTGCTTGGAACTATTTCCATAATAATTTCATTTATTTCCTGAACTTACATGCTCCTTTTCGTCAGTTCAGAATAAAGGGACGAGACAGCCCCTGGTTTACTCCAGAGCTAGCTGACCTCCTGCACAGGAGAGATCATCTTTGGGCCGCAGCGAGAAAATCTGACTCAGACACTGATTGGTTGAGTTTTCGACAGATGAGGAATAAATGCACAACTGCTGTCAAAGCAGCAAAACGAAACTATTTCTTATCTCAGACTTCCAAAAATCTAAATGACCCTAACAGATTCTGGAAAACAATTAAATCTCTCTCAGGCACCCCCCAATCATCTGACCTCCCATCACAACTTCTCATTAACTCTGTTCCTGTGTCAAATCAGCACGAGATCCTGAACTGTCTCAACAAACATTTTGTTGCTTCTGGTTCTTTATTTGACACAGTAACTAATGGAAAATCAGCCACTTCACTTAATAACCAAACTTCTACAAATCAAATCCCTCCTACAAGTCAATCCTCAATCACACCTTCTCTTTTTCTCCATTCTCAGTCAGTGAGGTCAATAAACTGTTAAAAGATCTTGATCCTAAAAAATCTGCAGGTCCAGATGAACTTCCACCTTATTTCTTAAGGCTGGCTGCTCATATCATCACAGTCCCTGTGACCCACATCTTCAATCTCTCCATAAGACAAAACTCCATCCCAGACACTTGGAAAACAGCCTTTGTTCTTCCTTTGCTGAAGGGAGGTGACCCCACCTCACTGAACAACTATCGACCAATCTCTAAACTCTGCATTTTAGCCAAGGTTCTAGAAAAACTGATAAACTCTCAAATCAAAAATTACCTGGACTCATTTAACATCTTACCTCCACATCAATCTGGTTTCAGGAAACAACACAGCACAACCACTGCTTCACTGAAGGTTCTTAATGACGTTGTTGAAGCACTGGATGCTAAGGATTATTGTGCTGCACTTTTCTTAGACCTGTCTAAAGCTTTTGACACTGTGGATCATAACATCTTGTGTCATAAACTCTCAGAAATCGGTTTCTCAGATCACACCATTGGTTGGTTCTCTAACTATCTTTCAGACCGGAGGCAATGTGTTCAACATAATGGTACTTCCTCCAGTTATTTAACAGTCAACAATGGTGTACCACAAGGCTCAGTCTTAGGACTCACCCTCTTTACAATCTACATACATAATGTAGGTAAAAACATCCCTAATGCATCCATACATTTCTATGCTGATGACACAGTTGTTTATTGTCGAGCTAAAACAGTTGCTAAGGCTTTCCAGCTTCTGAAATCTGCATTTAACTACATCCAGACTGATTTGTTTCACCTCAAACTTGTCCTAAATGCCGAAAAAACCAAAGGGATGCTTTTTTCAAATAGGAAGTTGGTCCCAGCAGTTCTTCCTCCGATTTTATCCTCAAATGGTGTCCCCATTGAGTTTGTTGATTCCTATAAATATTTGGGTATCTTGGTCGACTCACATCT